CACTGATTTGCGTGGTTTGTTGGTTATTTTACTTTTAGGGGCATTCTTTGTTCGGATTTTGAGAGGGGGGAAGTTGGTCAATGGGATTTTTGTTCCCATTCACCAAGAATCACATGTTCTTTTTTTAGATTTATGTAAGGATTAGGGAATGTTTATTTTCCTAGGTATCACTTACCCGGGTAAGTGATACCCATCTCCTAGGTGGGTAAATAACTTTTCCACCTAGGGGGAAAGTTGCCAACACTTGAATGGGACAAAAATGTCCTTATTAATAATGGATTTTTATGGCTAAAATGGCCATTGCCTTATTTACATGAAAAATAAAAGAACATGGGTAAATGCATTCACCCGGGTAGTATTTCCCAAGAAAAACTTACCCAAGTAAGTACATTTACCCGAGTAAATAACTTACTGAAAAGCGAACGGGGCCTTAAATATTTCATGGTACGATTATTTAAGACACTAAAAGCCAAATTGATAATTAAACCATTCATTGCAATTTGGTAAGGTCTCTGGCTGATTGTAGCGGAGACTTTGGGATCAAAGCTCACCCTTCTCAGGGTTTGGGGGTTATGGGTTGGAACGTATAACCCTCCATGTATTGTGTAGCTCCATGAAGCAATTAAAAAAAATTAAAAAAAGTCATGCATGTTATTCAATGGGGACCAATTAGGTGGTATTTTTCAAAACTTATGGGAGATTGTAATTGGTCAAAGCTCTTTTGATATCATGTCTTTCCAACATCATAGATGAGTGTGTGTGTGTGAGAGAGAGAGAGAGAGAAACTAGTAACAAGAATTGTCCGGCAACAATTGTTGAAATAAGATCAACTAAGAAGGAAGAATCATGCAAAATGACAGGTGGCTAGTTGGTAAGGTCTCTCTTGTGGTGGAGACTTGGGATTGAATCCTACCTATAATAGGGTTGGGGATTGTACATGTGTAATAGATCCTAACTCAAAAATGTCTTAGTGAATCATCATGTTCTTCTCCCATCTTGTTTCTTCTAATGGTCCATTTGGTTGCTGAGAAATAGTGGGATGAGAAGGGATGGGATCAGAAAAGAAATTTTATTTTCTCATTTTGGCATCCTATGTTTGGTTGCTGAGACAAATTTTTGCAAGATGCTTGATTTCATTCCTCTTCAACCATTAACAACAGTGGAACATGAACACCCATGGTTGTCTCCTATATTCCCCTTCAACCATGATCAATGATGATGACAGAAGTTTAGCAAGGTTTAGATCTGCAATAATAAATCCTTCTACTTAATAGCAGAGGTTCAATGATAGCAAATCTGCAATAGAGGTTTTAGCATATCTGCAACGATGGTGATGGCCAAGAAACAGGGATGCCTAAGAAATCTAACCAATATATCATAAAAAAAAATTACAAACTTGTTAGACCTGCAACGATGAGAACAGAGGTTTAAGCAGATCTACCAATATTTGGTTGTCGAAAGGCTAAGAAATCACGAATGGGAAGAAAAGCAATGAAGTTTTAGAGAAAAAAAATACAAAAATTAGTTTACCAGAGAGAAACGAAGCATGGATAGATCTTACCTTCGTTGGAGATGAAGAACAGTGATTGGACTCTTTGGCGCTTGGGGTTCTGAAGCTTAGCTAGTTAGAAAAACAATGAGGTTTTTGAGGGAAGAAAATATAAAAAGAAAAGGTTCAATGAAAGAAAACGGAGGAGATTCCATGTTTTCACCAGAGATTAAACACCCTATGGATAGGGTCTGAACCTCACTTGGAAGATAACCGGTAATGAGTTTTCAGAGAAAAAAAATACAAAATGGCCAAGAAATGTGAAACGGAGGTCTTAGATTCGTTAGAGGTGAAGAAAACAGTGGTTGGAGATTTGATCGTAGGGATATGTGAATGGAGATGTTGCCTTCGACATTTTTTTCTCATCGACTTCTCATTGTTTTCGTTTCTCACCGGGGTCGCACCTCGTCTCTACTTTTGGGATGCAAGTTCTCATCTCATCCTATTGTTTCGACCAAAACAAACGAGAGAAAATAGGAATCTTAAGCGAATATTTCTATTTTCTCATCCCCGTCGCGACAACCAAACATACCTTAAGATTTTCCTACCATCTTCTGTTTGTAGTCTTGCTTGGGTTTTTCACCATGTTTCATCCTCTTTTTTCTCCCGCTATCTTTTGAGCCCAGATCTTTTGGGTTTTTCACCATGGAGTGTTCCAGTGAACTCTTAGATCACATCCAGTCAACTGCAAGATTTGCTTCATTATAGTCGACTATGAGCATATTTCTTTCACTAATAGCAGTCCTCAATCAAGTTTTTGATGTTCCACCAGGTTCAGTCATCTTAGGCTGTGGCTAAAGTTATAGGTTAAAAGCATCCCAGGAATAGGGGTTTGGAATTGGAATTGGAATTAGAATTAGAATGAGCTATTTTGATTCTAACTGTTTGGTTGGGCGGAATTAAAATCTCATTCTCATTCTTACTGGAATGGCATTCCCCCATTTGAGGGAATGGCCATTCCTGCCTCTCCCTTGGGAATGCAATCTCATTCCTGTTGAGTGTTGATCCCAATTTCCATTCTCATTACTATCTGAACCAAACAGATTATGAGAATAGATCATTCCGATTCCAATTCTAGAAGATTTTGATTCCGATTGTGATTCCAACCATGAACCAAACAGAACCTGAGTCTAATGGGCCTCACCCAAACCTGAGCCAAGGCCGAGCCATGAATAGATCTATTTGTCCTTATCCTGATTCCCCTTAAATTTTGTAGCATGCGATACTTGGAGAAAAAAGAAATAAAAAAAAAAAAACTGAAAGGGCAATGCAAAAATTAAAGGTGTGTCTGTGAGCATGAATGATTTCCCAATTGTGCCGTTTCAGAAATTGAAATTACTAAAATTTGCAAATACTCAATCCCAAAACCATGGAATTCAAAATTACCATATAACCCAAATTATACCATGGATTCATTTTCTAGATCCAAGTATCACTTTGCTTTATTAATATTTTGCCGATGTCACATGTGAGACCCACTTATAAGAAAAAAAGTGGAGAAATTCCCTATTAGTATCCTATATTTTGGGATTAGTGTCATTTTGGTTCTCAAACTTTAAAATGCGATGATTTAGTATTCAAATTTTTAAACATACTAATCTGGTATTTATCGTTAATCACCCGTTAAGTGACATTTAAAAAGATGTATGGCCTTTGAGTGTCATCTAATTCTCTTTGTTAACCATCCAAATATTGCTAAAAAATGAACAATCCTAAATTCTTGTCTCTTCTATTTGGTCATGTCTCAATGGGTATTCAAGAAGAAGTAAGAATTTGGGACTATTCATCATTTATTAATGTTCAAATGGTTGATAAAGAGAATCAAATGACACTCGAAGGACATTTATATCTTTTCAAAAACCACTCAATGGCTGATTAACGGATTGGTTAACAGTAGGTATTGGATTGACATGTTTTAAAAGTTTGGATAATGAATTGTTGTATTTTAAAGTTTGGAGACCAAAATGGCACTAGGCCCAAACTATAAGATAATAATTGGAAATTTTTTTTTTAAAAAAAAAGGAGAATCGATTTACATCAAAGAAATAACCAATGTTTTGCTTCATGTGATTTCAATTTCATAAATAACTAAATTTAGGAATCATCAACACGCCAACACCCACTTTTCATCATCTTGAAAAATCATTCAAATTGGTGGCTCCACCAAAGTGGCTGATCCAACCAATGTGATCAGACTTGATAGCAATTCGTTATACCAACCACTGAGATGATCCCATGTGAAAGAGTAGTCCATGTCAGCTTAACGAAAAAAAAATCAGTTAGGATGTGTTTGGTTTGCATAAAAAAATAACTTTCCCACTTTCTGTTTTTCTCTCATTTWCTATCAAACCCTTGTCAACGTTAGTTAGATTGGACCCCAACTTCGAGGGAATCGTGTTTCTTTGTTCAGGGGTATGTTTTCGTTTTAGTCTGACACGGACCACCTTCTTATGTTGGATCATCCCATAATTCCCATTGGCTAGCATGAAAAAAGGGTCAATTATGATACCGAGAAACTTGTAACCCATCAATTCATATCATAAAAGTGATAATCAATCAGGTGGTATTTATCAAATTTTGCATAGATTTTAATTGGTCAAAACTCTTAGAACAATATCATTATTTTTCTAGTAGCATAAATTAAAAAAAAAAAATTATCTAAAACTCACTATAACTATTCAACATTTCTCTTAAACTTACCATAACTTTTCAAAACATCCAAGGATCCTATATCAGTAACTTAACGTTAAAAAGACTAATTAGGGTTAATAAATTACCATTTTCGATCCAAAACCAAAATTTCAGCTTCCTCGAAATATTTTCAAGCGGTACAATGAGAGCACAACGTCTCTCAATTTAAAATTACATTTATGCTGTGGACAATTTCTATCAAAAGTCATGATGAGTTTTAAACAATTTAAAAAAATAATAATATAAAAAAAATGAGCCAAAGCCAATTTAGGATGTGCAGATGGCTAGATGTGCCGCCCCATACTGGTTAGGTGGTTGTGTTTTTCGGTAAAAGAATTGACCATTCTGATTCAACACATATATACAATCTTCCATAGATGACATGGGTCTCAGCTCTTAAGCCATGCGTGAAAGGGATATGCCAGACCCACGAAAATGGGTAAACAGTACAAGACAAGTGATAGATAGCTTGAAGAAGAGGAGCTGTGATGTGTAGTGTAGACTGCAAATTAAACAATTGGGAAATTTTCCAATAATAGGTATCCTGTATTTTAGGTTGAGTGTCAATTTAATACTCGTAATTTAAATCGTACCCGAATTTTCAATTTGCAACAATTTAGTACCCAATGTTAAATTTCCTCAATTAGAAGATGAAAAAGTCCTAAATAACCCGAATTTTCAATTTACCCCCAGCTATTTCTACGTGACCGATTCTGAGGCCAATTTTGGCCCTTAACTCATCAATGCAGAGTTATTTACCATGTTGTTTCGGGATTTAACCGACGAAAGTGTTCTTAAATCTGAAGGCAAGGCCCTCTTTGTATGCCACGGCAGCGCCGGAGAGGTGATCGTTCACAGTCCTCGGTTCTACAATGATAACGAGATATATCTCATCTCTGAATTCGGTACCGAACGCCAGAGCTCAGTTCCGGATGCAACATTTGATTTCACATTCGCTTCCAGCTTTGGCTCTGGTAAATTCATCGATCGCACGCTCAAGACCGGCGGCATTGCAGCTATCCAATTGAGCAACGACCCTTCGGATGCTTTCTGGAAGCCCTCAAATTACAAGATTGTCTACATCTGGCGATATGCATCCACAATTGTAGCAATGAAGAAAACTGGCCCCTCCAAACTATCATCCGGGAATTGGCCAAATAAGAGGCGCCTCTGCGCGTTCCCTTCAGAAGCCAAGGTGGCATTGGATGGACTCGAGGATGTGCTCCTGGAACCACCAAGAAGAGCTCATGTGGAGTCGAACAAGTACTTGAAGAGGACCAAATTCCTGCCGGACTTTAACAGGGGACTCGCTCGAAGGGTACCCACATTGCGTCTTCATCGATGTTGTCTTGCCGGAGAGAAACAGTGGCAGCCCTGGTTGGTTTGAGAGGAATTACCCAACAAGGAACCGGGATTTCAAAATTTACAAGATAGTGTCCACGGATGAACTGTCAACCGACACTGCGGTGCCCCAACTGGAGATGTCGGACTGGTTGAGGAAGAATGTGAAGGAAGAAGAGTACGTGGTGATGAAGGAAGAAGCAAAAGTGGTAGAGGAGTTGGTGAAGAATAAAGCCATATGTTTTGGTGGATGAACCGTTCTTGGAGTGCAAACACCGAGGATAGCGGGAGGAAGAAGAGGTGAGGGAGGGTATTTAGGACTTTTTCACATTAAGTAGCAAATTGTGGCAAATTGAAAATTCAGATACTAGATTATCATAATTTAAAGTATTTGGCACTCAACCTAAATTACAGGATACCTATCAAGAATTTTCTCTTAACAATTTTGGCCCAGACATGTTTCTAGGGTCTGTTTGAGTGGGTCTTGCACGCATGCTACACAGATTTTACTGGTAAATAATACATCACAGAAATATAAAAAGAATTCGAAACTACTGACCTGACGACGTTCACCTAGCCAAATTCCTCTAATTTTCAGAAAATATAAAACACAGTTGACTCTCCAATATAAATTTACTCTAATTTCAAACCCATGCGTGAAAAAGGAAACGCCCATTATACTTCATCTAACGTTGCTGGTTGTCACTTGTTAGAGATGAATAATTCTTTTCATATAAATAATTCACTTATACGTTTTAGCTTATGTGGCGTTCTTTCGTACCTAAGTCGCATCAATTGAAAGAAGGAAAAAAAAGGGTAAACTACAAATACCCTCATTTTACTATGGGTCAGCCATAAAGTCTCCCTTGTATTTTTTTTTTTTTTGCAACAAAGACCTCCTAAACTTTAACCATTAGACAAAGGCCCTGCCCCTTGATCGTTAATTCAGAAGATAGAAAGCGTTAATTACTAAAATATCCTACTAAACTTTTTTTATTTTCTTTTTGTTACCCTTTTTTCTTTTAAAACCAATGTTCAAAATATTGATATGTCTGATATATCGGTATGGGCGTATCGGGGAAATTAATACTGCTTTTGATGCTTTTTTATTTTTTCACAACTAGTTTAGAGGGAGTGGTTTAGAACTCCTCCACCCCCTGAATCAATCAAATCTCTAATACACCCACTATAGAGACATATCGAAAGAGTCCCGAAATAATACGTATCGACCGATATGTTTCAATACTTTAAACCTTGCTTAAAACCTATTTAACCCATAAAATGGATATCTGGTCCTGCAGATCCCTGATCCGACACCCCAAAAGTAAAGAGAAACTCAGTCGAGCGACTGGTTGGGCGCTCGAGGAGGACACCCCCGAGGACACGAGAGAAAGAAAGTGGAGTGGTCGACAGCACGACGAACATGTCAGAAGGATGAAATAGAATTCTGTATTCCTTACCTTATCTTATTTTATTCTTTCTTATCAAGGTGGATCGTCCAGAATTACAACAGAGCATTATTTCTATCTTCTAGAATTCTGATATTTTCCTTCCTATTAAACATATGCATGTGACAAGCCAAAGGATGTTACAGCTCTAAATATGACAACCTTTGGAAAAGCCAAGGGTTTGGAGCAGAAGAACCAGCCTCTGAGCCATCAAGGAGATAAAGCAGCACAAGTTTACTTTCTGATGAAAGTTATCACAAACATTTGACAACTCCCCTGCTGTGAGGTTGAAACCAAAGCACAAAATAATGGTCAAGAGTCTTCATAGGAGGCTCATTCTCATAATGAAGCACACTATTTGGAATACTTTTTCCTTATAAAATTTAGCATCATTTCAACTATTTTAAGGTTCTACTCTTGCCGGTACTAGATGAACATCTAAGTGCTTAAAGTCCTCTTTGTCTCAAGGTATGTTTAGTTGCTCAGGCCTGTTGAACTGGTTCAATAGGGTTTGATTTAATTTACCAGTACACAATCATGTCCAAGTTTGTCATGGTGGACTTTGGTTTGGCTTAGGCTGTTACTTTTGAATTTTTGCATACCGGGCATTTATTTTAGTCAGGTGTCATTTGGGTTACTGGCTTACTGTTTGCGTGTAGGCTATGTATCCAAAGTGCCCATCCTCTCTGCATGTGAGCTATGTTTTTTCAATCGCTAGACTAGAATCTTCCTACCTTTCTTTTAGTCTGCAAGTGAGGAATTTGTATTTAACATTTCAGGGCTACAATCTACAATCTTAAATACTCCAAGCAAGATGCTCTAAATTTTATGATACATGGGAAGATTTTTCTACACCAATGCAACAAAAAAGAAAAAAAATGTATAGAAACCTGATATTTTGAATCACGAGAAGCTCTTAAGTCAGTAATTACAACAGAATTTGAACCAATTCAGTTTTTTACTCACAGTTAAGGAAAAAGAAAAGCAAAGAAAATAATGAATCAAATCTATCTTATTAGCTTACAGGCTTCAGATACAGGATTAGGTAAGTTTCATGCTCCAGCGTAAAACGAAGGAACAAAAACAGAGACTTGCCAAAGGCAARTGAAAACAGACAACTCCCCGCGCTTGCAAAATTCTTTGCACTTCAAATTTTCCAAATTGGAGTGCTATAAAGAACAAAACTCAACCCAACCAATTTGCATTGAATTTGGAAATACCAAAGGAATAGAGAAGAAAACCAGCTTGTCTTTTCTTCTTCTTCTTCTTCATTTTTCTTCTTCATTTACTCCTTCTTCTGTATTTGCTGCAATTTTCCTTCTGCGCTGGACGTTGATCGGATATCGCTTGAGAGTCCTGGTGGTCGGGAAGAAAACCGGCTTGTCTTTGTCGGCTGGAACCCAACTGCAATTATTCGTTTAACGATTAATGAGTTAATCTTTGAAAACACAGAAACAGAAACGTAGAAAATTTTCTTTTTTCTTTTCCTGGTGCATGTATAAATCATACCTGAAGCGAGTGACGAGGTGGTGGGGGAAGACTGAGATCTCGAGTCAAGCAAGCTCATACCCAGGACAAAGACGTGGGCCTCCGCCGAATGGCGTAAACAGATTCCCCGTCGCTGTTGCTGCTTTTTAAGTTACAACGTCTCTCTCATTATTTCATTGAAATAAATAAATGAATGAATTCAACAGAGAGGGAGAGAGGTGGGGGACCTACTGCCATCTACAGGGATTAAAGGTTCGAGAGTCTTTATAGTGGTTTTCGTCCAGATGCACAGCCCGAAATGATGCAAAAACTTTCCAACCCTTTGGTATGGTGGTGTAGAGTGCTTGAGGTTAGTTTTGAGGTTCAATCGAGAAGCCAATGAAGAATATAAAAATGATAGTTTGGGTATTTAAAAAGTTTAAACGTTCAAATAAGAATTTTTTCAAAGTTAACGAATAAAATGATAACGGAGAGGATCTTTGTCTAATGGTCAAATTTCAGGGGGCAAAGGCTCAAAAATAAGTACAGGGGGATTTTGTCACTGTTGCATAGTACAAGGGGTCTTTGTAATTTATCCAAAAAAACTAAAAAGTTTGGTTCTTTAGCTTTGACAACCCGGTGGCCTATCAATAGGGGCCACCCCTGCACATATCTTGCTAGTCACACGAATTTTCATCGGTTAGTGTACCATTTAACACAAAACTCTAAGTGCAGGAGATATGGACAATTGTATGATAATCCATATAATAAAGCCGTAGGATCTCCTAAAAGTAAAAATTAAGAGAACACTCTCAAAGCACATTCAACTGTATATTGGGAATATTCCATCCGCATGATTTTAACATAAATACGGAAGATATTTTCAATATAATATCATGCTCTCAAAGTGTTCCCATAGTTTTTTATTCTCACTTTATACTCTACTTGTTTGTAGTTCTCTCTTCTTTTTTTCATTGAACGTACATTTAATTGCATCAAGGCATTATCTTCACTTTTCGGTAAGTTATTTATCCAGGTTAATGCAATTATCTAGGTAAGTTTTTTTTGGAAAACACTTACCTAAGTAAGTGTATTTACCCATGTTCTTTTATTTCTCAAGTAAAAAAAAATGATCATTTTAACCATACAAATTATTATTAAAAGGGGCATTTTTGTCTCATTCAAGTATTGGAAACTTTCCCCCCAAGTGGGAAAGTTATTTACCCACCTAGGAATGATACTCAAGAATATAAACTTCCTTTGGTCCCCACATTAATCTGAAAAAACAACATGGAATTCTTGGTCAATAGGGACCAAAATCCCATTGAACAACTTTCCCCTTCTCAAAATCCAAAAAAAGAACGCTCCCTAAGGATGTGTTAGTTCTTTTTTTTGAGAGGGGGAAACTTGGTAAATGGGATTTTGGTTCCCATTGACCAAGAAACCCATGCTCTTTTTTGAATATTTTCCAGATTTATGTGTGAGCTCAGAAAAATTTATTTTCCTTAAGGCTCAATTTGGAAGGAGTACAAGTACAAGTTTGTAYAGTACAAATACATACAAAATAATATAAAATACAAGGCTTTGCACTCTACATATTTGTATTCATACTCCTTCCAAACAGAGCTAAAGAGTGCAAATACAATTGTGTACCATAGAAATACATAGAAAATAATATAAAATGCAAGGTCTTGTAGTCAAATTTGTACTCCTTCCAAACTGAGCCTAACTATAGGTGGGTAAATAACTTTCCCACCTGGGGGAGGAGGGAGTTGCAAAAACTTGAATGAGAAAAAATGCCTCTTTTAATAATGAATTCTTATGATTGGAACAGTCATTGCCTTATTTATCTGCAAAATAAAACAACATGGATAAATGTACTTACCCAGATAAGTATTTCTATCCAGATAAGTAAATTACCAAAAACTGAACGAGGCATAAGGGTGTGCTATAGATATTAATTAAGCACGGATAACAAGCTTGACCCCTGATTGAAGCTTGAAGAAGAAGGTATTGTGCAATCTTAATGGTGGATAGCACCTTGGAGTTTTCACTCGTAGTACAAAGGTAGCAATCTCAAAAGACTTGGGTTTTCTCTCTTTTTTTTTTCACTTTTACTTTATCTTTTTAA